CCCACCCTCCTTGTACACTGAAAATTATCACTTTTGTACCCACAATACTAACACACAAGTTAAATAATCGACAATAATCAATCATATTATTCATGAAATCATTTATATTCATAGTACACTTTAGTTTAATCATGAAAAGAAATCAGAAAACGAAACTTTTTTTTTAGGATTTACAGAATCAGCGCTTAATCACGATCTCACACGTTAAATGGTAGTGTGGACGTAGGATGGTACGCGTTAATTAAGTAAATACCCATTCACCTTTCTCTTGAAGGTACCCACATTATTATTGCATTTGAAATAATTTAACAAATATAATCAAAGAAATGTAAATAGCAAATAATTACAAAGTTCCTTGAAACTGGACTGGTCGGCCTCTGAGAGACATTGCGCTATCGAAACCTGAGAATTATCCAATTCTTCACTTCCCACAGCCAGCACGCTTCTCGTCCGCTCTCGCTCCAAACCTAACGCATATCAGAAACACAAATAAAACAAATAAAAAATAAACGAAATCATAATTGCAATTAAAAAAATATAAATCATATAAAACAACATAAATGAATAATGTACCTACATTACAAAACAAAAATACAATGTGAATTTAAAAGTTACAAAATCAGCTTATCTGATGAAATAATTCTATCAACTACGATCTAACTTATTAATAAATATCAAACTGTATATTAAAATTAATACTCTATATATTCATACTCTTATTTTCTACTCTACTTTTAACTTTAAAATGTTGAACAAAGATATCTTATTTATACATTCTAGAACAAAACTAATACATAAAATTTCTATCACGAGGAAAGTGGCATCTTACCACATAACGAGAGACGGACGTTATCATTTTCATCGAAATCTAAAGTAGTTTTTTTGGAATTCGACGAACGAATAGTGTTTTCACTGAGATCTGATACTAAATCTGGATTCACATTAAAATTCCCTCTTGATATGAGATTATTGCGACGCGAGCGACATTTTGAATCCTCTATTACTGCAAAACAAATCTTTTGTTATTAACTGTTATAAAAGAACTGAAGTTTATGTCGTCGAGCGCCAAAAAATAACTGCCCAAAAGAATCTAATATCTCCGTTATTTTTCACATGCACTTATTCAACATGCAATTTATAGAATAATATCAGTTATGAGAAAAAAAAACCTATTCTCTACATGTAATTTTATAGTATCAAATAAAACTTACAATTATCTGTAGCATTGACTCGTTCTACTGATCGACACTCGTCAATGTGTTTCTGTAAATAGAAAAAAACTATAGTCAAATTAGATGGAAATAAGAAATTATATTTATGATTCTCTATGACAGTCATTTATTATCTATGGATTTATTTTGAACTAGCTTTCGCCCGCGACTCCGTACGCGTGGAAAATAAAAAAACGAAAGTGAGTAGGCTATGTGTTCTTCCAGACTATCCTCTACGTCTATGCTAAATTTCATCGAGATCCATTCAACCGTTTAGGCTACAAACTGTAACAAACATCCATCTATCCATCCATCCAAACTTTCGCATTAATATAATATTAGTAAGATTATTCTAGTAATTAAATTAATGATAAAATATCATCTGCTTTTCATAAGTCTAAGGTCTAACCTTACAAAGGTAAAATTGTTCAGATATCTCATTATTGAATTCAAACATAAATTTTGATTTAAAGTCAAAATCGTAAGTAATGGCTTACAAAGGTAGTTTTTGAAAACTGAGATAAATAGTATTAATACAAATTCATCATTTTTAACAAACACTTACGCGGTCGTGCAGTGTGGAGCTGCTAAAGGAACCGACCAATCGTTGCCTGATGTCACTCGCAGAGATGTCATGCTGAAAACGCATTATTACTTACAATTAATCACTTTGATCGATCAAGTTCAATAGTTAAGTTATATTTAGTAATTTGTTAGACTCAATCGACGCTAGAAGTAGAAACATTTCGACAAAAGGTAAAATTAAACGATTGTTATTTTACTGTTTTTGTCAAATATACTTAGGAGAGTTCGTGAGAGGGATACGCGTTCCTTGTATCAGAAGCTTTAATTAAAGAGAGCAGTTTTAATAGATTGAAAACATTTCTTCCAACAACGCCTGTAAACTAAAATGACAGGAAAATGACAAGTAGGACGTAACGCAGCTTGTCAAGGTCATTGCTCATTCTTGGTGTTACTTTGTCAAGATCATTTGCGCATACTTGTTATTAGTTTGTCAAGGTCACATGCGTATACCTATTGTTACTTTGTCAAGGTCACTTGCGTATACTTGTTACTTTGTCAAGGACACTTGCGTATACTTGTTACTTTGTCAAGGTCATTTGTGTATACTCATTAGTTTGTTAAGGTCATCTGTGCATACTTATTATTAGTTTGTCATGGTAATTTGTTCATACCTGTTTCACATGCTGTAGCTCTAGCAGTGTGGAATGTGGGGAGGTGCGCACGCGCAGCTTCACCGTGATGCTGGACAGCTGCACCAACTGCTCACCAGTCACCACACCCACAGGCACACACCACATCGGACTGCGTTCATCTTCTGTATAAATAAGTATTTTTTTAATGGATGTATGGAAGGAAACAGTTTTTCAAAGCAGTAGACAATGGAATACTGCTAGTGTTACAGAGTCTTACAGACACGACCTTAGGCAGTCTTTCGAATAGACATACTATTAGTATAGATAAAATGTGTCAAAGTCAATACTATTATAATAAAACGTAAACACACACTTCTTTGTTGCTCGAGATGTCAGCAATTACAGCAAATTTTTAAATAAATCATTAAACTTAGGGTGTAAATATTTTGGATAAAACCATAATGTGAGAAAGAGACCATAAGTTGCTGCCAACATCACGAAAGAAAGAATGCCAAGGTTTGTCATGCTATTTCATTTTGATATTTGCTATTGATAATTTGACAAATGTAAACAAAAAATAAAATTTTCATAATTACATGCGGATGAAGCCGCACGGGAACAGCTAGTATAGAATAAAATACAAAAGTAATAGTGAGTTCTGGAGCAGCGATATTGTTACTTTCTCTAAGGCGGGTATTTAGTTTGGACATATGCGTTTTAATAAAAGTAAAAATGGACTGCACCCTATTCTTGAGTGAAACTAGCATAAACCATGTTTTCAAGTAATTAAATAAATTTAATTAAATAAATAAATAAATTATTTGAAATTATTTTGAATTTGAAGTTATAATGTAATGTTTTTTAAATTAGTATTGTCTACCTGTTGCTCGTGCGAATGTGAGGAATATTGGTGCGAGGGCGTCGTTGTCGGCGTCGTTGGTGGGCGTGGGATAGCGCGCGCAGTACGCCGGCGTCGTGTAGTGCGTACTAATGCCAGGAGCCACAGAACAAATCCAACGCGCGCCTTCGCATTCTGATACTGTCTGTAAACAAGTACAATTAGATTTTTTTTTATAAGACTAAAAAAAATCAGAGTTACGTGTGAAGTGTGTGGAGAAGGTGTGATTAGCTATGACCTATGTACTTCTTACTTAGAGTGGGCTCCGAGCCTCTCTGTGGGAATTTATAGTGAGGCGATGAAGAAGTCAAACAAAGTAGCAATTCTCATGAACTATTGCTAGCAAAAGACGAGTTCCAGAGAAATTGCCTACAAAAGTAGGTAAACATATAAAAATAAAGAGTGAATGTATGTGGATTTCGCCCGCGTGAATTAAAAAAAATAATTAAAATTATAGCCTGTGTTAACCACAAATAAATTACCTTTCAAACGATGAAAGAATTTTTGAAATCGGCGCAGTAGTTTGTTTATGCCAATATTGTAATAAGCGTAGACAAGCATACTAGTAGTATAAATACGAAAGTTGTTTGATGGATGTTCCATGAAATTTGGTATAGATGTAGAAATTAGTCTGAAAACAAATTAGCTACCCACTTTTATTTATTTTTTAATTCCACGCGGACGGAGTCGCGGGAAAAAGCTAATAATCCACACTAAGAAAAGTATTAAATGTGAAAGTTACCTTGACAGTTTTTGAGTTATTCTCCTGGTAGTCGTATACTTCAGGTTGAAGGGGCTGAGCGACTGCGAGCCACTCCTTCGTGGCATTGGTCACCACGAACTGCGGGCAAGGGTCTCGCGCCACCACCACCTGCCAGCGACCCTCGTGGTGATGTTGCGTCACCACCACAGGCACCTGGAAATACATATATACATACTTCACACAAACTGTCCTGAAACTACTCCTAAATTAAGAAGTGTATATTGTTCTCGAATATCATAAAAGGCCTTGTTCATCTTACTAATGCCTATGAACCTATGACATATGTCAAGGTCATTCAGAAATATCGAGAAAACCGCGTCATTCTGGCAGGATCAGTAGATGAGTATTGAAGTTAATTACGTTGTTACAATTTTAATATTGTCTGAAACTGAGCGTCGGTGGCTCAATGGTTAAGCATTTGACTTGTAATCTACAGTTCTTGGGTTCGAATCCCGCCGTGTACCAATGTGATTTTCGATTTTTCCAAATTTCATATGTACATAATTTACC